GTCCCACAAGAGTTTCCTACAAGAGTGTCCCACAAGAGTGTCCCACAAGAGTTTCCTACAAGAGTGTCACACCAGAGTGTCCCACAAGAGTGTCCCACAAAATTGTCCCACAAGAGTGTCCTACAGGAATGTCCTACAAGAGTGTCCCACAAGAGTGCCCCACAAGAGTGTCCTGCAAGAGTGTCTCACAAGAGTGTCCCACAACAATGTCCGACAAGAGTGTCCCATAAGAGTGTGTCCTATAAGAGTGTCCCACAAGAATGTCTGGCAAGAGTGTCCCATAAGAGTGACCCGCAAGAGTGTCCTATGAGAGTGTCCCACAAGGAGTGTCCTACAAGAGTGTCGTGGAAGAGTGACCCACAAGAGTGTCCCGGAAGCGTGTCCTACAAGAGTGTCTACAAGAGTGTCCCACAAGAGTGTCCCAGAAGAGTGTCCTACAAGAGTGTCCTACAAGAGTGTCCTACAAGAGTGTCCCACAAGAGTGTCCCACAAGAGTGCCCCGCAACAGTGTCCCACAAGAGTGTCCTGCAAGTGACCCACAGAGTGTCCCAGAAGAGTGTCCCACAAGAGCGTCCTATAAGAGTGTCCCGCAAGAGTGTCCTACAAGAGTGTCCCACAAGAGTTTCCTACAAGAGTGTCCCACAAGAGTGTCCCACAAGAGTGTCCTACAAGAGTGTCCCGCAAGAGTGTCCCACAAGAGTGTCCCATAAGAGCGTCCCACAAGAGTGTCTCACAAGAGTGTCTCACAAGAGTGTCCCTTAAGAGTGCCCTACAAGAGTTTCCTGCAAGAGTGTCCCACAAGAGTGTCCTACAAGAGTGTCCTACAAGAGTGTCCCACAAGAGTGTTCCAGAAGACTGTCCTACAAGAGTGTCCCAGAAGAGTGTCCCAGAAGAGTGTCCTTCAAGAGTGTCCCACAAGAGTGTCCCACAAGATTGTCCCACAAACGTGTCCGACAAGAGTGTCCTATGAGAGTGTCCCACAAGAGTGACCCACAAGAGTGTCCCATAAGAGTGTCCCACAAGAGTGTCCTACAAGAGTGTCCCATGTCCCACAAGAGTTTCCTACAAGACTGTCACACAAGAGTGTCCTACAAGAGTATCCCATAAGAGTGTCCTACAAGAGTGTCCCACAAGAGTTTCCTACAAGAGTGTCACACAAGAGTGTCCCACAAGAGTGTCCTACAAGAGTATCCCACAAGAGTATCCCACAAGAGTGTCCCACAAGAGTGTCCTACAAGAGTGTCCCACAAGAGTGTCCCACAAGAGTATCCCACAAGAGTTTCCTACAAGAGTGTCCCACAAGGAGTGTCCTACAAGAGTGTCGTGTAAGAGTGACCCACAAGAGTGTCC